CACGACTTGAGAAAATTGTAGAATCAAATCATGGACGTCAAAGTATACAATTGGTCTAGAATGGTCGATATTGGTTCGTCATTTAAATTTCAGAAGTTACGCTTATTTTCGGTCAGGCCAGAAGAGATAGAAAAGTTTGATTGTACTCATAATATCACCAACCAAAATTATATATTCATACCCCCAAAGTTGCATGAACGTAAAGTTTAGTGCTCGTTTAGAACCCCGTCGGCGTCTTAGTTGTGCATAGGGAAGAGCCAAAAAAATTGAAGACACACAAGAAGCTGTAACGGGTGGTCGCTTTAGACTTAGAAAGAAGTATATTTTTTTGATTTCATAGTTTGGTCAACATAGGAAAATTTACACATATACCGCTTGATAGCGAACAAAAACGAAATTACGTCTGGAAATAAAAGGCGATAACACTACCATACGTAGTACAAAAAGGTGTCTAGACTTTTATCTTTCGAGATAAGCGAGCATTCGTTAGACAGTAGGTGCGGAGGTTTTGGGTAGACTAGTTTGAACCTTCAGAGAGTAGGTACGTACTCACGTATTATTTTAGGTGTGAGAATTTTAGTATATCGTATATTGTGATATTTTTTCGTATCTAATTTCGCGAACAGTTAGTTACTATTTTTAAGTTTGTTTTTAAATATTGTACTGCAACATTGTATTATACCTTTTTTCTTCTCAAACTGAAGCTCGAGTCTGTAGGGCAATAAAATCTCAGCTGTGCCAGGTGGCTGACGGAGAACGTTTAATCCAACAGCGGTAAGGTATTGTCGGTTTTTATTTTGAGCGGAATCTTCTAATCAAGGACGACACTGCTATTTTCTTCAAACGCGCCGTTAAGAAACCCTGGTGACAAGGTGCGAGGAGCCATCTTGATTTGTAGCAAAGCGATTCATTTACAAATGATAAAAATTTACGCGAGGGAACATTTTCAATTGGGAAACGAGCTCTTCACATAGAAAGAGAATTAAATGTACTGTATTTAAAAACTCTTTGCGATAAACGAAGATTTTTTCTTCGTTTGCACCGCTTACGGTTACAGCTGGTTAGGAGCTATTTTATAAAAGTTGCGTAAAACGATTTTGTAGTGCTTTGTGCAATAAATAATGTTTTGTACACAACGTCATTTGGTAGGAAAGTTAAAGTGACAATTATTTGTTACATTTACTCACACCACAAACACTTAATTAATTGGCCAAAATTTTAATACGAACACAACGGAACATTGGCGTTTTATTCCAGTGCACAATTGACCATTGCAGGGATATATTTCCATATTCTAAAAAAGGGCGCACTTCTCCGGAGAGAGAGAGAGAGGCAAAGAAAGATTTTTTGCTTCGTATTCAAGGTGTACGTGTATTTTGAACAAGAACATGTACCGGTAAATTATTATGTGGTAAAGATAAAACCTCTATATAAGAGTCAAATTTAGCAGAGACACGGGATCACGAAATAGGCACCCCCGTAGCGCAACCTGTGCGCATCCCCGGGCAATTTTGAGGGAGACTCGTCGACCGCAAAAACCCCACTTCCGAGCAATTTCTGGGCACGGTTAATTTTTCACCCTTCAGCGCCTCGCCTATTTAGCTCCGGGTAAGTTTGAGGGTATATCTGGACTTGGCAACAACGAAAATCCCCGAGTAGCGATTTCCAAGCGATTTCTCCAGCTTTTCAGATGGACGAGAAAAATGAAGAAAAAAGTAAATTTTTTGCAAAACAGTTTGTATCAAAATGCGGTTTTCGGCATAGTGTTAAGAAAAATACGAATACATAAAAGTCAGGAAAATGACACATTACTGGCGAGAAAATACGGAAGTACGAGGCCCCCTTGGGCCGAGTACTTTAATTTACGAGTTAGGACATGTCATTTTACTAACGAGTTTTGTGTTAAATTTTACTGGAAATAATAATAATAATACTAATAATAATACGCATTTATTCTCCTTAAGTTTGTATTTTGCATTATATTTTTTAATATAAAATTTCAATTGTTATATAGAACTTTTGATTAACGATAAATGTCAATATGTCAGTGATGAGTCATTATAGACATTTAGCAATGTCACAGATGCGACCGGTAAAGTTACGGTGCGGCGGCTTGTTTATCAGCATAAGGGCCGATTTATAATCTTTGTCGGCCGCGTTCGCGCTGGCAGTTCGTAGTTCATCGAAGATATTGACCAATGGAAAAAGAGTACCCATTTGGCGCGCCAATTAGTGTCAAAGTCAAACTGTCAAAGTTGCTCGTTTTGGCGTGTGAAGTGTATTAATATCATTTATGTCTTACTAACCTATCATAGCACATTTTATATCTGTGATACGCGGGCATAAAGTACCACTTTATGCCCTAGGGCATTAAGTATCACCATAGTAACTCATTAATACTTAATGACAAAACTAACAAATATTTGCAGGTCATTGAAAATTACAAACGTCAATTATTAATTGTCAATACCTTATACTAAATCACAAGATTGGCCTTATTTCGTATAGTTTCTGGAACTTCTTGCTCATTCACGATGAATTGAATTATTTAAAATTACGTTTGACGTTTGGATGGTTTCAATCACATTAACAAATTCGAACCACGCATACTCGATCAAACATAATGAATTATTTTGTAAACGAATTTTGACGAAGAAAACTATTTGTAAAACATAAAATTGTGTATGTACCACGGGCATAAACTGATGTTTATACTCTCGGGCGACTAAAAAGCTCTCGGGCCATAGGCCCTCGAGCTTTTTAACTCGTCGCCCTCGAGAATATAAACATCACTATTATGCCCTTAATACATAAATAACTATTATAAGTCTTTTATCTCATCATCATAAATCTTTCACAGAAATAATTCTTGTCCCTTTCATGAACAAACTGTAAACTAAACATATCTTAACCGAAATATGCTCTGCAACGATGGACGCGAACGCCGACGCGAACGTAAAGTTTATAAATCGGCCTTAACTATTTGTGTTTTGTCAACATTGATTACATTTTTATATTGCTTTTGTCCTATGACCTTACATTAATGTATTTTGGCATTCTCAAATTGCACAAATTGTTAGTTGTGAACTGTATAAATTCATAACGATTCAAGTAATGAAAGCAATCCTCATTCTTTTGCAAGGAGTTTTCTACGTTATTTTTGCCTTGTATGTTCCCTGGTTCGTATTGATATTATGCTTTTATGTTTTGTCTAATTTCTCTTCCGTAACATGTTCCGTAATATGTTTGGTATAAATTTTAATTTATTGATTGCATGGTCTTGGTCTGATTTATCTAATTTAAGGTTATTCGATTAAATATTTAAATATGTGTGAATTGTTTCATTTTCTCAGTGAATGGGGTGACCACGGGGTGGCAATAACTGTAGGCACTTCTAGTTACGACAGCTAATTCCGGGACCAACCTCGACTCTCAACTGTAGGCTTGAATTTCCTGAACGAAGAGTAAATTGCCTATCTCGGGGGCCAGATTCTACTAACAAAAAGTTTTCGGTTTAGAATCTGTGTGCAATATATCAGTTGCGATTCACTGATTTCCACATATTTTGTTACTTTGGTTTGAGTAGCAAGACCATGTAATTTCCCATCCAGTTTCTCACAAAATTTTATTACACGAAAGATGATACACATCTTGTGTACTTTGGGATTTTCTTGCTTTGCGTTAACGTACATAATGCGTTTTATTTTGTGTTCCTTCCCTGCCGTACTCCAGGTCATAGCGTCAATATTTGTAACTGAAGAGGAACATAATCGTGCAAGTACTTCCACTTGTATTTAAATTATTTTCATAATCCAAACAAAAAATACGTAATTCGAATGCAAATGTGTACCTACTACGTAAACTTAACCATAGTTTAATTTAAATCCGCGCGTTCTTTCGGAAAACGTGATCCTACGAATCATGATCTTGAAATCATGATCGCGCCTATGGAAATTCAGGTGGCCATTTTTTTTTATGTTGCCGGGTTGATTTTATTTCCGTGATATTGTAGTGTGAACTTAGCATAGAACCTGGGGGTTAGGTACACAACCGGCTTTGTGGTTCAATTGTAGAACGTTGGGGTATAAAGTCGGAGGTCGGGTGTTCGAACCTGGGCTGAGTTAAGAATTTTTTATCTGTGGCAGAGATGGAAATTTCCTTAGATCAGTTTCGAGGATTCTGCCGGCTACTCCGAATTAGGTTTTCCTGCAATTTTTCTAGTTCGTAAGATACGTACCGGAGTAGTATAGACTGTAGAACAACTTAAGACCTTCTGCAGAGGCACCTCTAGCAGAGCTGTGCAATCAAATCCACAATACGCCCCTGTCCACTGTTCATGTAGCGAAGGTTGGCAAACATAAATTGAGAACCCTTAATATTTGATGATAGCATTAAAAAAGTACACAGCCAGGATTAACAAAACTCGAAATAATCGTATAATTTGACGTACTTGCTCTAATTTTAGGAAAATTGCCACGTTATAAAGGCGGATTTGTCACGCGCAAACAGTGTGTAAATGGCGTAAAAAAGTAATTAAATACCTTCATTACTTCTGTGGTGCTTTTAGTTTTTAGATGAACATTAGTGGTTTCCATCCAATACCCTATTTTTTGCCTTCTTATTTAAACTGATCCTCAATTGCACCATAATTGTTCGCAATTAAGTACTTGCGCGGCTACTTAATATAATTAAAGTATTATCGTTGAGTGAAGTACTCAATGGTATTATGTAATTTCCCCAAAGGTTGACAAGGACTGTTAGCTAGCATAGGTTGCCAAACAACTGTACGCCACAAAAGTTTAAAGTGCTGTAAATTGCTTATAGTAGGATCGGTGTAATCCAAGATAACGTAATTCAATATATAATCCCGTGATTTAGATTCGGTTTACCACATCTTCGCGATAATGCCTGTAGAAAGCAACCAAGCAAGTGCTCCCCTTGAAAATGAAATTGTTATATCCGGTATATCGGGGCGTTTTCCAGAATGCGATACTGTCGAAGAGCTCAAGCAAAAACTGTTGGATGGTGTCGATATGGTGACGTCAGATGAAACAAGATGGCCTGCCAAACTGCACGGGCTTCCGGCACGTATGGGAAAGCTGAAAACCTTAGATCAATTTGATGCCGCGTTCTTTGGAATACATTCAAAACAAGCTCATGTCTTGGACCCCCAGGCTCGGATTCTTTTGGAAGTTACTTATGAAGCAATCGTGGACGCCGGATACAATCCATCTGAATTGAAAGGGAATCGAGTTGGAGTATTCGTAGGTGTGAATGGAAGTGACACTGGCGCATACTGGAGACATAGTCCTGATACAGTCAGTGCATATTGTGCGACGGGTGTGGAAAGAACCATGCTTGCCAACCGAATTTCGTACTTTTTTGACTTTATCGGGCCCAGTATGTGCATCGATACGGCTTGCTCTAGCAGTATGATGGCATTTCAGAGAGCATTCGCTTCAATTAGAGCTGGTGAATGCGATGCTGCAGTGGTTGGCGGTTCCAATGTTTGCCTACAACCTACAATGTCTCTTCAGTACCATCGACTAAATATGCTAAGCGAGGAAGGGAAGTGTAAAGCGTTTGATCAGTCTGGTAACGGATTTGTACGTGCAGAAGCGATCAGTGCCATATTTTTGCAAAGGGCGAAAAATGCGCGCCGAATATATGCGACTATTTTAGGAGCAAAGTCTAACACCGACGGTTACAAGGAGCAAGGAATTACGTTCCCGTCGTGTAAATTGCAAAGAAAACTAATGGAAGAAGTATATAATGAATTCGGGATTAACCCAGTGAGTGTGTCTTTTGTTGAAGCACACGGTACGGGGACTCAAGCAGGGGACCCTCAAGAGTTAAACGCAATAGCAGAAGTACTTTGCAAAAATCGTAAAGAACCGCTCTCCATAGGGTCTATTAAAAGTAATTTGGGCCACTCTGAGTCTGCATCGGGAGTATGCGGTATAGCGAAGGCTATTATTGCAATGGAATGCGGAATTTTACCAAGGAACCTTCACTTCACTTCTCCAAATACCCAAATTGCCGCATTGAGTGACGGAAGACTTGAGGTATGCGATGCTTTAAACACGCTACTATTAAAGTATTGCGTTTCAGGTGGTTGCCCAAAATAAGAATTGGAGCGGAGGGATAATTGGGATCAACTCCTTCGGATTTGGGGGGGCAAATATTCACGTCGTACTACGTTCTAATCCAAAAAGCAAGAAAGTCGCGGCTCCCGTAACGATACCTCGTCTGGTGACGGTTTCAGGTCGAACACATGATTCTGTTTGTAAGCTATTGGATGGAGTGGAGCAAAACAAGCATGACACTGAACTTATGGCACTGCTTAACAGCGTGCACTCGCATAATATAACTGGCCACGGCTTCCGAGGTTACCGTCTTCTAGGCAAGGAACTTGCACCAGAAATCGCAAATGTTACATCTGAGAAACGACCCATTTGGTACGTTTACACCGGTGTCGGATGTCAGTGGCCCCACATGGCTAAAGACATGATGAAATTTGAAGAGTTCCGAAATTCTATTAGAGAATGCGCTGCAATTTTGAAACCATACGGTGTAGATGTGGAAGACCTTGTTTTGAATAGCAGCGCTACTAGTTTGGAAAATGTTGTAAATTCTTTAGTGGCTATTAATGCTGTACAAATTGCTTTAACTGATTTCTTAAGTACATTAGGAATTAAACCAGATGGCTTCGTAGGTCATTCGGCAGGAGAACTTGGCAAGTACTTTCTACCTGTTTCTCAGTTAATTAATGATTTCCAGCATGTGCCTACGCGGATCAAGGTTTAACCCGTGAGCAAACAATAAAGTCGGCTTACCAACGCGGTGTGGCTCTTCTCGAAAATAATTTGCCGAAAGGAAAAATGGCCGCTGTAGGTTTGTCATTGGAAGAGTGTCAAAAGCGTTGCCCACCAGGAATTGGGATCGGATGTCACAATAGTAAAGACAACGTGACCATAACGGGTCCGGAAAATCTAGTTGATGATTTTGTTGCCAAGTTAACCGCCGACGGAATCTTTTCCAGAACAGTACCGAGTGCCGGTTTAGCATTTCATAGCAACTACATTGCAAATGCTGTACCTGCTCTACAAAAAGCTTTTGATGAAATCATCCCACATCCAAAACCACGTAGTTCCAAGTGGATTTCTTCGTCATTTCCAGAGTCCGCATGGGATACTCTCGGTGGAAAGCTTTGTTCAGCCGAGTACCATATCACTAACGTAATTGCACCGGTCTTATTTTACGAGGCGATTCAACACATTCCTAAGAACGCTATTGTAATTGAAATTGCCCCGCATGGTCTACTGCAAGCCATACTAAAGAGAACGCTTCATTCTGAATGCACAAACATCAGCCTTGTTAGTAGAGCCGCTTCGAATAATGTAGATTTCTTCTTATCGGCGATTGGAAAGTACGCCTTGATCTTTTATGAGTGTTTCCAACACGTTATTTTGTAGGATATTCAACGCTGGCGCCCAACCTCAAATTGCACGAATGTATCCACCGGTACAATATCCAGTTGGTCGCGGTACCACAATGATTAACTCATTGGTGGAGTGGGACCACTCAGAGAAATGGACGGTTGTCAACTTTGCGGAACAAAGTTCAATGTCGGGAGAATGTAAATATAACGTAGACCTTACAAAGGAACTCGACCAATTTCTAACCGGTCACAAACTTCATGGGAAAATTGTGTTTCCAGTAGCAGGATACCTAGTAAGTACACTGACTTATTTTATCGCCATGATTTGATTGAGGTA